GGCTCCGTCAGTCAAATAAGCCCTGTGGACTAGATTCCAGTGATTCTGTAATCTTCTCCCTGGTTCATGCATACTCTTTTCTTCTGTCTGAATCGTAATAACTTAATTTTCCATGCAACTTTCCGCGAAAGTCCATTTTGCACCTGTTCTTGTACATCTGATTATCGGAAATGTGACCTTCCCATCTTGTAGCGGAACAGGCATGCCTCAATAGAAAGCAAAATTATGCAATGAACTGCCACCATATCCTATTCTTTCACTGTTTCTATTCCACATTGTTTGTCTTGATCTTGGAAAGAAGCTTTTACTTCCTGCTTCTTCCTTTACAGTTCGCTGTTCTTTTCTGATTATACTGCATTTAAAACCAATTTTTAGTGGCACTTAACGTTGTTTGCCTGAGAATCGCCGATGTAGTCTCGCTGAAACGTCTGTAGTGATACGGCTACCGTCTGTCCATTTTTTCGTGTCTAGAACTATTGAAAAGGAAATTCATAACTTGATAATAATTTCAACTTTTCTGTATTTCATTTCTAAATATGTGCCAGTTGCGAATATCGGTCTGACATAGGCATGGCGGCGCCGTTACTACCCTGAACTCCGAAACAACTCGATCTGACCTGGCTTCTTCGGCTCTTTTACCACCCCTAACTCCTGCGATTGACTCAGTCGGACTAGGGTGTGGCGGCGCTATTTCCATTGGAAATACGGCTTTGTCATTCAAGTCAAGTCAAGCCGAGAGAAGGTGCATTACCTCGTAATTTATGAGTTCTGGCTCAGTAATTTATGAATATCGTTATTCTACGCATCGGATGGCATTTGTGCGAAAAGGCGACCAGTAAGAAACGGCCAACACCTGGTGTGCACGACTAGCAAGGAACTATGTAGGCGTGAAAGAGGATCGGCTTTTAGCAGACTCTTCAGGAATCTGTAGTATGCATCAATGTACATTTTTCCCTTATGCGTTCATGAATCGTGTGCAAAGTTCTACTGAACCAAGTTAAGCTTTTTAAACAGATTTCCAAAAGATCGCAAGCGTCTTACGGTTAAATAGATTTTAATACAGTCATGGGAATTTTCGCAGTTACAGGCCCTTTTTTTGTTCGTAATGTTTTGGACTCATTTACTTCGCTTGACGTTTGCTGTCGCGGCCATCAAAACAGGAAGGCGTTCCACAGATGGTGTTTATTCGCATTCAATTGTATTCATTTTTTCATTCCTTGTTCGTCTAATTTCAACCAGCAAATGGCAAGTTAATTAACTACGTGGCTCGTGGGAAAATTTAAATTTTCATTTTCGAACTAATTGGACTTCCGTCAGGTTAAACACTCTTGAAAAGTGCTCCGTTTCTTTTTGAAAGACACGTTGGTTTTTTGGTTGCACAGTTAAGTCACTTTTGAAA